CCGAATGTTACATTGCACCGGCCTGTGTTATTTTTCTGTCTATAAATCATACAATAGCCCAAATATTTCACGTAATTAGATTAGACTAATTTTATTAGTTTTTTCATAAGTCTTGCCGAATTTTGCATTGGTTACTTTAGATTGCCTGTTTGTTTGTATATTTTGATGATTGTCGGTACGATTATTTTGAGATAGTGTTGTTCTTGTAATATGTATATATTATCGATATTCTGTTAGTAAAACAATTTACTACGAAATTTTTGTTACTTATTATTATAATTATTTTTAAAGGTAACAAATGAAAAAAGACAGAAAGATGGTTGGAAATTATAGGACTGCCGAACGTACACATTGGATCAAATACCATTTTCATTTATTCGCTCCATTTGAAGTCAAATTTTAATAGAACTTTGAATGTAACTAGATTACAATGATAATGCAATTCTATCGTTAGATTATTGGCAAATAATTTTATATTTAATTTTGATTAAACAACTCTCATTACTAGGCATTCTCAGTTCGTTAAAACAAAACTATCTACACGTTTCTGATTTTTACTCACTGAAAACTTTAATATACATAACATATATAGATACACTGACATAATAATTACAGGCGTCCGTTAATATAATAGCATCACCTGCAATAACTTGTACATCATCCATATAGTTTCGTGTGGGCAGCTCGAGATTAAATTATTAGACTCATGTTTGTTTAAATCGAAGTTATTTAAGTGGTTAAATGGAAATATTTTTATTACATAAACGAAATATTTGACAGGAAATAAGATGTAACATTTTGTCTTGATTTTAATAATTCTGGGCAAATTTAGTTTGTAACTCGTGACTATTTCTTGTGGCATTTTTATTGTTGTGGTAGTTCAATTTATGGTGATTTAATATGCGAAACATGTTTGTACTGACTCTGTCTCTTGTTACATCTTCTGTTATACAATGTTTTAAGCAAATAAACACATTATTAATACTATTCTGATTTTGTGAATATCAATAACATTACTACTATAAGTACATAATTTTATTTATTCCAAAAATTAAAAGGAAGTGTCAAAGATTCACCTAAATCAAAATCACTAATATTAATTCTATACCAATGCATAAACACACAATATTTGAAAACCTTTTAAAAATTTCTTTGTAATATCAATCTTGAGATTGGTAATGCGTAGAGATCTCCAAATGTTGTAAAACAAAATTTTCACTTTTTTTATATACTCTCAGATTACATTTTTTCTGTGCAAATTCAATTTTCATAATATTTAAGCATTTATAAATGCAAAATAATAAATTCAAAATATAATATCATTTTCCCGAATATTCCCATATGACATAAAACATCCCCCAATGGAATGTCGATATACTTTAATTAAACGTTATAATCATACTTTGGTTACAGTAAACTATACAAACTACAAACATAAAAAACAGTTTGAACATTCAAGCCATACATTTGCACGTCAATATTGACTTTTCGATGATTATGGTACAACATTAAAGAAATCCGCCATTTGTGGTGCACATTTTTGATATAAGTAGGTACGTTTATTCCGTGGATAGGGCCGCTCCTTTCCTTTACTTTTTTTCCATCCTTTAAGGTTTATTCCTTGATCCATTGATAGATAAGAGAGCAAAGTTTTAATGCCGTAATTCAATGTCTTTAATCCAAAGAGTTTCTTTAATCCATAGATGAGAACTCAAAGTATAGTGTAACATTTTGTAACATACAAAATAAATAAAAAAAACGAATAAAGAAGGAAAATAATGTAAGAAAATAAAATAAATAAAATGTAAAAGCACACATTTAAAAAAAATGGTAACAATGGTACTCCCAAAACAAAAGGTATAATAATGTATAATGTCGATGTGAATTATGTGAAAGATAAAAATCTTTCCTACCCCTGTAAATGTAAATGTGGTACTTGTTCATTAATATTATGATCTTCAGGTCTTGGAATGTAACCAGAAAACATGTTGTAGAGTATCATGCCAGCCATCACCTATTACATCCAAGGTGAGTTTTTAACGGATAAAGAGTTCTTTTTTTTGCCGTTTTCAGTATCGTCTTTGATAAAACGTTTGCTTTTGAATTACACTGGCGTCTCAGACTCAATAACTTGAATCCATAGATGAGATCTTTAATCAGTTGTTAAACTATAATGTAACATTTAAATAAAATGCACAGGCATACATTTTTTTATAAAATGTAACAATGGTACTCCCAAAACAAAAGGGTATTATAATAATGTATATTGCCGACGTGAATTATGTGAAAGGTTTTTTTTTCTACTCCTGTAAATGTGAGATTTTTTTTTCTACCCCTATAATTGTGTTACTTGTTCAATAATTCTTCAGGTTTTGGAATATAACCAGAAAAGTTGTTGTAGAGTACCAGACCAATCATCCCTTACTAAAACCAAGGTGAGTTTTTTCTTTAAAATAGATTTCTTTATTTAACTGTTTTCTTTATCAAATCTATGAACCAATTTTGTGACTAATAGTGATATTAGTCACAAAATTGCTAAAACCAGTTAACCCATTGATAAACCCACCATCCACCAAAGTCAGTAGGAATCAGATCGAGCAATTTTGGACATCATTCAGCGTAGTTCCAATCGGCGTATTTTTTTTTAATCAAGTATCAACTATATTTATATTAAATTCCCTGAGGCTGTGATAGGTGAGATGAATAGACTTTATCAAAGTTATTGAAATTTAATAAAACGGCGGATAATGATGTTATATCAATTGTTCTTAGAATTAAGCGATACGAGAAATGTGAATGGATCAAACGTCAATTACGCTTAATATTTTTTTTAAGGCGAGGTATAGAGGATTTCAACGCAAGCCTAGATTTTAGAGTTTTAGGTGAGGTGGGTAAATTAATGTGATTAAATAAGAACAAACAGAGAAAATTTGACAAAGATCGCCATCAGTCGCCATCTGATCCGACTGACGGGTGGCGTGTCGTTAAACAGCTGGACAATTTTCAAGTTTTGGGATAAATTCCCAATAACTGTAAGTAAATAACTAACGAAAACTATACGGCTTCAGATGAAATCCAAAATTTTGCAAGTTGTCTGTAGTATTTAAAAAGAAATGATGTGCAAAGTTAGATATTATAACTATAACGATAACTGTCTCGATGGCTGAAGGGTTACCACGCCGGACTGCAGAGGTGCTGGGTTCGATTCCGAGAAATATTTGTATGGCCTACATTTATTCTCTCATAAGTTTGGGTGTAATTTGTCGTTATCCATGTGTGTGTCCATGGCACCCGCGACACAGGGTTTCCCTAGTACGGGGCTATGAGTGTGTACGCGTTATTATTATTATTATTATTTATCTACAAACTTTATTATATTATTATTTTTTATGCTTAAATATTTCCTTTTAGACTTTTTTAATGATTTACGGCACTGAGGCGTGGTCGCTCGCCATGGGTGTCATAAGAAGGCTTAAGGACGCTCAAAGGGCAATGGAAAGGGCTTTGCTCGGAGTTTCATGACGGAATCAGTAATGACGATATCCGCAAGGGAACCAGAGTAACCGACTTAGCCCTACGAATTGCAAAACTTAAGTGGCAATGGGCAAGGCACATTGCTCGCAGAACAGATGGCCGATGGGGTCGAAGAGTTCTCGAGTGCGGCCGCATACGGTAGACGCGGCGTGGGCACACCACCCACAAGGTGGACTGATGATCTGGTGAAGGCTGCGGGACTCAGCTGGATGCAAGCGGCGTAAAATAGATCGTTGTGGCATTCTTTGGGGGAGGCCTATGTTCAGCAGTGGACGTCTTTTGACTGAAATAATGATGATGAAATGACGATAATGAGACTTTTATTTTAAGCTGTTTTCAAAATTTATCCTATCGTGTAACAAATTAGCACCTTCTTTAGATAGAATAACCTTGGGTATATCGTATATTTTTTGTAAGATCGTTATTTAATAGTGAATACCTAAAACATTTGATCTAGCAAAACAGATAATCCCGCTTCGTCTCCGGTCACTCGTCTTAACAGGTGCCTGGTAGATGTTTTTCTCGTACACTATAAATATGAAAGGATCTAATGGAAAACCACCGCTGTAAACAATTAATAAAAGGGTTTGTTTTGTTTAGAAAGGGTTTTTTTTACAGAAACTAGTTACAAGTAGCAAAGACATCAGAGAAGGACCAACAGCCTTTCACCTAAATATGGGTTCAGGAATTATACTTTCACGCCCTGAACTAAATTATTTAAGGTATGCTCATGCAAGTGATGTACTTCTCGACAAAACGAGAATTTCCGTAAAAATCACTTATTTACAATTTTCTAGGTCGATTTGGTGAGTGATGAATTTAAAGGATCTACTCATTTTAAAAAATTTCAAAAGATGAACGAATGCCAAGATAATATTTTTAAGTAGTTTTGTAGCAGTTTTCAGTAGCAATCGAAATCTTTGTAAAAGAGTTGATCCAGAGAAGTGTTGCCACCGTACCTATTTTTTAAGAGTAAGGGCTCTGGTAACTTTATATCCAGTGTGACGAGTGAAATGACAGGCTCAGATCTTTACGATGTAAGGCCTGAGTGGCACTGCAACAGCTATGGGTTGGCGTGTTGCTAACTACCAGGCACACGACTTGTTCGTCCCGTTACTTGACAATCATAAAAAAGTATTGTACCTAAACCCAGACTGAGACTGCCCATTTGATAACAAATCGAAGTCACATTTGCATTATTGGTAAGATCGTAGTAACCGCAGTTGGACTGCATCATTCATATATGCAGTTTCACCCTATGACAATTAATTGACAAATTGGGTGGATTAATTTTAAGTGTTTGGCGAATTTGCAGGCACATAAAGACAACGACGAAGAGCGTGGGACTTAAAATTAAGGCATTGAAGGCTATAAAACATAAAATGATATTTACTATTAATTTAAAAAATGCGGATATAATAAGAAAAACTTTGGTTGAACGTGGTTGGGTTGAAAAAATATCTCCAAGACTATCAGAAATCTCAAGAAATACAGCGAGTACAAAATCGAAAATTCAACAGAGACTTGACAGTCTAATTTTATCAGATTTAGTTAAAGGACATCATCCAAATTTGGTTTGGGATATAAAACATTACAAATACCTCAATAATTATTCATACAAAGGTGATGTTGGGGACAGTGACAATCCGAATAGTGTTACGACACAAAAAATCCCGATTAGGAATCAGTTGGAAGTCGAGGCGTTATGGGCCTCTCAGATAGGTTTGTGGAATTGTACGAAACAGAGCTATTGGACTTATATAAACAATATGGCAGAAGTAACTACACCCAGGATTTACACTAACGATGCCTTTGATCAAAAAGATTTCTTGAAAGATTACCACTTGACTGCGTGTACGAGTTTATTGAAGTGGGTTCTAACAATGGTGGCAAATGACGTACCAATTATAAACGGAAAAATTTCTACTAATGTTTTGATTTTTGCTTTAAACCGATGCAAAGAATATTTGCATATGAAACAAAACAGAGATATTGATATTCCAATACAAAAAAAAGCCACATCTGGACAATGGAACTTTTTTTTAAAAAGCTATTTCACTTTAATAAATTGCCACGATGTATTTCTAGTTGAAAGAACCAACATATTCTCTCTGTTAATTGCCTACGCAAAAATATTGCTGAAAAATATTCACAAATACCGGCCACAGCTGAACTGTGAAGGTTTCCACAATATTTGGGTTATGAAATCGGCAGACCCTAGAGATCGAGAAATCAAAATGGCTTCAAACTTGAGAGTTATTACCGAATGGAAAAATAGCGCATCGTCTGAGTACGTTATTCAAAAGTATATAGGTAAAAAAATATTTGATCTCTTCGAGACTATAATTTTTTCGAGTCGCGCCTTTCAGACAAGTTTAAAACTCGTTATGATTTTTCAGAGGAACCGTTGTTGATCCATGAAACAAAATTTGATATAAAACAATATTACCTAATTACAACTGTTTATCCGTTAGAAATTTGGATGTACAAGGATTGTTACTTAAGGTTTAGTTCACAAAAATACACCCTCAAAAGTTTTCATCGATCCATTCATCAAACAAGCTACGCTGTTCAAAGAAAGGGCAAACATTTTACTGGTCGGCACTGTGAACTTCCAACGTGCAATACATGGAATTTGCGTGCATACAAAAACTACTTACGAAGGAACGCAAAGGAAAGTGTTTGGAACAAAATCATATATCCTGGTATGAAACAAGCAATCGTCGGAATTATGTTAAGTTCCCAAAGCTTGTTACCGTTCCCTCATCATTTTTCAAAAGGAAGGTTCGGCTTATACGGTTGTGATTTCATACTTGACAAAGAATTCCGACCTTGGTTGATGGAGATTAAGTCTTGTCCTGATCTAAATCCAACGACTAAAGTAACATCGAAGTTTTGCAAAAGTTTAATTCGAGACGTTTTCAAAGGTAAATAATCATAAATACATGACAATTGACATCTGCATGAATAATGATATTTTGCTTTAATAATTTGTTAAAAAATGTATTTTCTGGTAGGTACTATGAGTATGTTTGCCATTAGATATCTCCTGAAGTAAATAGAACATTGTAACCATTGACTTACACAATTATTGTATCAGTATTATTTGTCATCATTATCGTCATAATTTTCCTTATGTTTTATACCTACTACTATTAGAGCAATCTTAAAAGTCTTAGAATAATAACGCATAGAAACCTAGCGTGCACACGATAAGTGAGGCAAATTGTAGGACGCCGTATGGGCCTACATGAGCGAGCGGGTAGTCAGTGCTCAAGGTCAAGTTGTACCGCGAACAGCTCCAAGATTTTTGCTAAAAATGACGAAATGTGCGGTAATTGGGTTTAAAAATAGATCAGACAAACATAAAATAGACACTAACATTACATTCCACAAGGAAGTAACGCGTTTCAACTTGTATTTTTATGTAAATATTCACTAAAACAGAAAATTAATTTCGTTGCAACAAGATACGAAAATGTTGCAAAGTAACGGGTTTTTTCTCCCCATTTTGCTATTCTGTTTCAAAATAATTATATTACGTATTTTTTTGAGAATAGGCAATATCGCGACCGTTGCAAAATTTCTACAAATGTACACCGCCGCAACAACATTGTAGGGAATTTACGTTAGCTATTTTTACGAAATATATTTAGTATTTGCCTTCATTAGTTTCATGTGAAAAATCATTATTCTTGTTCATCATACACTCATTTTAAAAAATTGTCTTGGCCAGACTCAAAAGTTCGTAACTAAAATTATTTCAGGGAACTAACACTGACTAAAAAGTCATCGTCAGTTCTCCAAAATCGTGTATAAATAACTTTCAGGTTCTGGTTCTTTATTGTTACCGTGTACTTTTCATGTAAACATACCCACAGATAATATCAGGCTATTTATATATTCAAATTCGATAGTCGCACTTAAACTCGCTTGTAGGTTTTTCAAAAATGTTGTTTTGGTAAACCATAAGGAAATGGCATGTATATCTGAACACAAGATAGCGGGTAAGACTTCTAATTCTTCTTCTTCTAATTCTTCGCTATCTTGGATTTAGAAATATGTGCTACATTCGGAATGAGCAGCCCCAAATACCTTGAAAACGGCACCCAACTTGCTATTATTCGAAAAATCGTGCCCGCCATCTTGGATTTAGAAATTAGTGCCATTTTCTAAATGGCCCCCCCAAATACCTCGAAAACGATCCCCAACTTGCCATTATACGAAAAATCGTGCCCGCCATCTTGGGTTTAGAAATGAGGGCCATATTCGTAATGAGCACCCCCAAATATCTCGAAAATGATACCCATATTGCATTTATTTAAAAAAAAAGCCATGTCCGCCATCTTGGATTTAGAAATGAGAAAAGTCGTGTCCGCCTTCGTGTATTCAGATATAAATGCCATTTCCATAAGGATTACCAAAAATAAATTTTTGAAAATTCCTGTCACTTGACGTTGTCGATCAACAGTAACGATCGACAAAACCGAGCATATCTGTAGGCACCTGATCGATATTGTCGATCGACAAAATCGAGCAAATCTGTAGGCACCTTTAACTTAATGATGAGTTAAGCAAGATACAATTTCCCCACTTTTGAGGGAAATGTTATTCCATGGCATCATTATTTCTATATTTGTGTGCGTGCCGACGAGCGTAAATACAAGTTGCTTACGCCTACATGAATTAGATTTTTGCCTCACTTATGACAGTTCGTTTGATATGAAACTATCATTCTATGCGTTATTATTCTAAGTTAAAAGTTACATTTTATCTACTGGTTTCTTACTTCGTCAAGCAGAATGTAACGCTCTATTATGTTTGCAACCTACTCATGGTGACATTTGTTTATTGCTCTGTATTCGTAAATATCTAAACAATTTTTAATTTTTTGCGCCCGAACAAAATATGGGTAGCCTTGTAATACGATACGTTGCCGATGTGCAATGTTTATTTTTTCGGTTTATTTTCGTTTCGTTGTAGAATTTTTATTCTCTAGGTTTCTCTAGGTTTCACTTTGCAGTGTAAAGGACATCCCAGGACACAATGGTACTGGATCTTTATAATGATTTCCAGTAAAGGTGTCCATCTCTGTATTAAACAGACATGGGCTTAGCTTGGAGTCTTTATGGGAGAGTACCTATATTCAATTCGCAATCATTATGATTCCAATGAGGCAATGTTGAAACTTTTGCATGTTCACGTCTATGATCAAAGTTATAGAACTTTCTAAGAAAGTGTATTCCATATAAAATCTCCTACTTGCTCTTGGACGACAAACACCATAATGCAAATTAGTCAGATTTGCCTTCCATTTTTCTAGGACGATTGTTACGGCTATATTCTTATAGCCTCTAAAATGCTCTGGTCCATAGTGAATATCTATTAGTTAGATATTAATTTCATTATTGTTCATGCGGCTGTTTATTTTATCTTGAGCCGTGAGCTTGATCGCTCCGTAGTTCCATCACTTCCTGACAGGGCCACTGTTTCGCTAAATACTGATACTGGCTGAACCTATAACTAGGTTAATAAGTACGTTGAGCTTTTATAAACAATTTACGACCTCCACATGCATAGTAATATTGCTTTTCAAATATGCAAGCGTTTCAAACATTGAAGCAGACATTAATTTATTTGGGGAATATGAAACTTTATTGAAACGCATAGCACTTGATTAGATGTGTAGTCCTACTAGTAGCAATATGAAAATTTATTATATAGAGTTGTTTATTAACAACCTTGCAGAAATATATTACATACATCATAAACAACAAGTTTAGTTTCATTACTTTTTACAAAATAAAAAATAAACTTTTAAGTTTTGATGTACTATCTGACACTTTTTAGATTTGTATTTGGTAGTAAGATGTTTAGCAACGCCTCTCGCGTGCTTTCTTTTGGTACCGCACAGAATTATCACCGCTTGGAGCCAATATATTTAAATATTTTTATATTTGTACGAAAGTAAAATCTGATAAATTATTAAGACTCATGGATCAGAAGTCGTTGTTTATGATGTTAGTAATATGTATAGTCCTACGACGTTGTTAGTATTTTATAAATAACCCTGTATTAGATATGTTCTACTTTATGCAATAATTTTACTAACTTCAATGTTAATTTTTTAGTCATTATTGATTATCCTCATAATCCAAACGCTAAGACTGGTAAATTTGAATGCGTGTATCGTGAACCTGTAACACATATTAGACAACAAGAATTATTTGTACGAGGTCACCAACTACCGGTGGATTATTTTGATTGCGAATCAGAAGATGAGAAGGTAACCTATATAATTGTCACTAAATAATATAACTATTTATTAATTGAAAATAATATTGTTCAACGTTACCATACCAGTTATCTGGTCTCTAACTTCGTAGTTAGAGATCAGGTGTTCAGCAATTGTGTACCAAAACACTCAGACCAGAAATTTAGACAACTCGCAAATGCAAGATTGTACCAGAATCATGTTTAGGAGGTTGTCATCGTCGTCGAAATCGTTAAAATAGAATTATTATTTGCAATCAAAGGGCTTGCAGGGTTTTCGATTGATGTCACATTGACGAAATGTTGCAATAACATGAAAAATTTAATTCCAGCTACCACGAGACGATAATAAATTTACTACAAACTTACTACAAACTGAAACTTACTATAAACTAAATCAGCGCAAAAGTGGTGTCACCAATATTTAATTTTTTGTCTTTGTGGACAAAATTTATTGTCATTTAAAGCAATATCGCTATTGCTATCAGTGATACTAAAGTACCTAATGGAAGAAATCCCTTTTTTACTCATCAACCGCAATCAAAGCTTGAAATATAATTTCTAGACTCGTTTTTAGTTATAAAATAAATGTCAATCATATATTGTCATATAATTCTTCTTCGTCAGTTTATGCCATCTTTTCCGGTCTTGAGCAGCTTCTAACCACATTATTCCCGCCAGTCCCTTAATATCAACGTACTAACGCATCTGTGGCAGAGAACAAAAAAGTAAGAGAATGGGCACTCTCCGCTTGACTGAACGACAACAAGGTTGTCGGGGAGCCGTTTTCGCATTAAGACGGCTTTGATAGTTGAATATAGTTTTCATTTATGCATCACGACACTTGTACGTTAATATATAACATCATCGTACGTTACTATTTATAATGGTCGTGAATTGGGCTGTGTACGGCTGTTTATTATCATCTAAACGGGATAAAGAGAGGAGTTTCTTCGTTTTCCGAAAGATGACAAAAACTTATGTCTGAAATTCATTCAGTAATTGTTTTCTTCGTTTATTTAGTGCAGAGTAATGTATAATACAGATTAATTATATCAATATAATGGGACGTCATAACTTTGTGAGTTAGTAGACAAAGGTTCTCGAATTTTCAATTTGTATTGCCGCTAAATTATTACGTAGTGAATATACCTAATTATTACCTAATTATTAACTAGGTAATGATAGACTTGGACACGCAATTTCAAATACCTTGGTTACCTTATTTAAAACCTGTCCAAAATACAATCTTTTAAGTGCTGTTAATATATTTTTTTAAATAAATCTTCAATATTATTCTAGTTAGTGAATTAATGAAAAATATAATATTATATCGACATAAATACCTAATGAACATGTGTAATTATTAGGATTATTTTAATAGAATTAAAGATAACAGATTCAATTAAGAATTTTCGCTATGTTGCCGCTCTGACCACGTAACATAAATTATATGAGAAAGTGATGGGTAACCCTGTCACTTCACGCTACATTTGCACGTGTGCAGATAGCGCCTTGCTGTATGTAGTAGTAGTAGGTAAATAACTTTCGACCGTTGTATGGAGTGTCCTGGGTGTGTCTGTGGTCTTCGTCTTGGGCGTTTCTCGCCCCACGGTCTTCATTCTACTACCGCCTGGCACCAAGAGCCTTGCTTGCGGGCGACATGGCCAGCCCACTTCCACTTTAATTTCGCAACCCATTTAGTAACATCGCTCACTGTATTTTGCTATGAGATTTTTTCTCTTTTATTTCTTTTACGGTCTCTTGGCGTAACTGCTACCAGTTTTCTTTCGATTGCTTTCTTTGATTGACAAATATGATATGATAAATATAATTGTATCTAGTAATTCTGTTCCTTGTGTCTGTTCAAAAGATACTTTAATGGATGTACAAGGTTTACGAATTTAGCTGACGGTATGCATTTAATGGGCTTACACCACTTTTGCGCTGATTTTGATTGTTTTTCTTTCCACATAGCCCTCCTGAGTACATACAATACTGTTAGATTATAAAAGAAAGGAGAACGAGCGCAATCCGCAGACACAGGAGATTTGAAATTTTCAGTTCCATAGCAACATATTTGCTATATTTAGGATATTAATCATAATATAGTAATGATAACGCATTCACCCATAGTCCTCATAATATAGTAATGATAACGCATTCACCCATAGTCCCGCACTAGTGAAATCCTGTATCGAAGGTGCTATGGACACACACATAGACGACCACAAATTGCACTTAAACTCACGAGAGCCGGGAGAACATTTCTCCCGGCTTGGGACTTGAACCCGGGACTGCGTTCGTCCACAGAGGTAGTTTGGGAGTCATTTGTGTAGTTGGGATGTAATTGCTTTAATATTACAAATATTTATAGGCAATGATAATCAGTTTTCTAATTTTTTTTTAAATCTTCAGAAACCTCAAATTTTATGAAGCTTCAGTTAAGACTCCTCTTTGTGACTTTTCGCCTCTGCACGCTGTTAATTCAAGCCCATACGAAATTAATGTTGTTGATAATCACACCTCAAGGTTATAAATACTACTGCGAGTACCATCACCGTAACAACTATGGAGCGACATCTGTTTGTGAAATCATTGACTTCGAAAGTACTTACGTGAAAGGCCGCATGCCAAGTTATTGTACATTATGTGGGTACTACCTATTTTCATATATTTTATGTACAGCTTACACTTTTGAATTATGCTTATAAAGATTGGAAAACAGTATGGATGAATACGCAACCATGAACCATAAATTGAAGCATAAGTTTTCGACAACTTCGCAAAACATTAATAAAATATAAACAATGTTAAACTAAAAGCTTGTTAGCCTAATGGCTTAACCTACCGCCTCTCAAGCAAAGGCCGCGAGTTCTAAGCCTTTCAGATTTTCGGAATTTATGTATTATTAACGGTAGAATTCAGAAAGTAGACATAAATGGAGTAACTTCTTTGGGTTCTCCAGTAAAAATGGGTGTTCCGCAGGGCTCAATACTTGGACCTTTCTTATTTCTGATTTATATTAATGATCTGCCATTCTTTGTTAAGGACAATTGCGAAATAGTGTTGTTTGCTGATGACACATCCTTGATTTTTAAAACAGACAGACATGACATTAACCATGACCGTATTAATGATACCCTCTCTAAGGTAGTTTATTGGTTTAATGCTAATAATTTATTGCTTAATGCCAAGAAGACAAAATGTGTTAAATTTGAATTACCTAACGTAAAATCGACTAGTCCAAGCATAGAAATAAACGGAGAAAAGTTAGACCTTGTTAATAAAGCAGTCTTCTTGGGAGTGACCTTAGATAGTAAACTTCAGTGGTTTCCACATATATCGTCCCTGGCCAGCAAATTAAGCTCCGCTGCATACGCAGTCCGCAGAATACGTGAGCTTACCGATGTTAGTACTGCTAGACTAGTTTACTTTAGTTACTTCCATAGTATAATGTCCTACGGGATTCTCATGTGGGGTAAAGCGGCAGATATTCAAACCATATTTGTATTGCAAAAATGAGCAATTCGTTCTGTGTACCGTCTAGGCTCTCGGGTTTCTCTCAGAGAAAAGTTTAAGGAGACTGGTATCATGACTGTGGCATCACAGTACATTTACTCAAATATTTTATATGCCCGTAAAAATATACATAATTTCAATAAGAAAGAAGATATCCATAATATTAACCTTAGAGCTAAGTCCAAACTCATGGTACCACGATTTCGTTTAACCAAGGTAAACAACTCTTTTATGGGGAACTGTATACGTTTTTACAATAAGATTCCGGAGCATATATTAAGTTTATCATTTCCTAAGTTTAAAAACTACATTAAAAATATTTTGATCGAAAAATCATATTACAAAATTGAAGACTACGTGTTAGATAAAGATGTATGGAAAGACGACATGGCTCCATAATCCACACATATTTCATAATCCACACAAATTTGATTCAAAGTGTATTCCATAGCATTTAAGTTTATTTGAAAAGAGCAATCCCTAGAGTTTCTTGCTCGTTCTTCTCAGGGAGGTCAGCGTAGTGAACGAGCAGTAGCTTAAATGTGACGTTTTCAAGTGTAAATTTATTTTACCTATGGAATAAATAATCTTTGATTTTGACTTTGACTTTGACTATGTGCGAAAATGCGAAGTGCGAAAGGAAAATTTAATTTGAAGTTTACCATGAGCGTTTGGGTCTAGTAAAACATTGTGATGAAACTTGCACGTCGAAGAAAGTTAACGAAAACGTTCAGAAAACGTATAAAGTCCCGCAACCCGCAATAGGCCAGCATGGCGGACTGGCTTAAACCCTCGCCTGAGAGTAGATTCGTGCCCTGGAGTGGGACATATTAATGGGTTGTTGTTAAAGTTTAAAATAAATAGGAATTTTGAATTTTCAGGTTAAACACTGACGACTCAATTATATAACGCAGCGTTGCATCAGTTATGTCTAGTATGGTCGTGTAATTGCCAAGGCCGACTGGATAAGTGGTGTCCGTGAAATATGTTTGTTTATATTAATTATGCTGCATCAACCTTCATGTGTGTACCTTTTGAGCAAGAAGTTTCAGAAGAACGATGTCTCCCGAATGAAAATCCCGTTTTTACTATATTATTATATTTGTTACTTTGTACGTTGTATTATTTAACATTTGTGGTTTCGCTAAATCTGTATACGATGCGGCTGAGGAAACGATACATATATTGTCAAATAAGTACATGTATGGAGAAGCGTAGAGGCGTTTATTTGTACACTTAGATATATCTAACCATCCACTATACATAGTATGGTGTGGTATGTAAAGATGATCATTATTACAATAGCAAATACGTGTACTGCATTATTCTTACCCAATGTACAATTCATTATTGAACAACTGTCTAAACTGCCGTCGTTATACTACTATTCTGCTGCTGCGATTGCGTCGCGCAAACAAGCAAATATGCAATAGTCAATAGGCAGTGAGAGAGAAATGGCGCTAATCAAATGATTGGAATCATAGAATCGACTACAATTTGCAGATCTTGCGATTATAATATTTCGTTGCAGAACATAGTCCTCTTTCTTATTTCATGTAAGTCACATATTTGTACGATTTTGTGCTTTATGCAATTGGAATATTGTCGATTTTAATATTTGATATCTACATGCAGTTAATATCAATCCATTTAAATACAAGTGGTGCTGAAAACTGCCATTTTGTTGTAGTTTATTGGTTAATAGTTACAACAGATTTGATTTCATTGCGTTAACGCCATTATCCGCGATGAACCGCAGTTATGTTATTCAATCAGTGTTGCCAGACTGTCGAGTTAACAATTTATATTTCGTCTCATGAAAAGTTACATTTTATCTGAATACATTTTACAAGTTTGTTTTTTTAATTAAAAATTGTACGTGTAAAATATACTATATATACGCCTAAATCCCAGAAATAAAAAAGTAAGTACGCTCAAGAAAAATCAAGCTCTAACCAGTAATTGATTGATTTCATCTTGTTTGCATCATATTTGTTGTTTTTTGTCTAATTTGGGTGCGTTCGTAAACTATATATAATAAATATTGTTATTCCCTGAAAAGTTCCGAAAATTGCCTTAAAAATAAAAATAACTTATCACGTATTATACGCGAGATTAAAAGTGACGAAAAATTTAAGAAATATAAACAGGAACACTGCATTCATTCGCTATCATTGTCATATTGTATGCAAAACTACAAAACAGGAATAACAGGTTTTCTGACAACAGTTTACAAAAACTACAAAACAGGGGAACAACAGGTTTTCTGACAACAGTTTACAATAACAGTTATTGAAGAATCGCACAGTATAATTCATTATTGACAAACACCCGTTTTAGTCCTGTCCAAGTGGTAGGCTTAGTAACGTGCTGGTGTCCGCAAAGACGCCTATTTTGCGCGTGGATCATGCGTGGTTCTATTATGGTATTTTCGTAATATATTTTGGTTACCTTATTTTATAAAATTGGCGAATCAGATCATAAATAAAAATCACATTTGAAATATATTTACACTACAAAATTATAAATAAAATTCATTTAACTTTTTACCAAAAAAGACCGAGTGAAAGAGATCTGCTTTATAAAAAAAACGTCTGAAGCAGAATTACCATTATTCTGTTGAAAATTCTAGTTGAGAGTCTGTATGTATCTTAGAGGATGGGAAAAAGTAAAGGAAAGGAGCTGCCCTATCTACGGAATAAACGTCCTTACCAAAATTAAAAATGTTCACCACAAATGGCGGATTTCTTTAGTGTTGTACCATAATCATCGATAAGTCAATATCGACATGAAAATGTATGGCTTGAATGTTGAAACTATCTTTTTTTTTCGTTATGTTTGTAATTTGTATAGTTTACTGTAATTAATGTATAATTAAAGTGTTTAATTAATGAAGATCAATATTCATTGTCATTGGGAATATCCGGGATGATAGATTTTGAATTTATTATTTTGCATTTATGTTCACATATTACGAAAAATAATATAAATAAGGAGATCTCTATGCATTTCCAATTTCAAGACTGAAATTAGGTTTTTTTAAAAGATTTCCAAATAGTTTAAGCTGTTTTGTATTTATATATTGGTACAGAATTAATAGCAGTGATTTTGATTTAGGTAAATATAACATTTCCATTTTTTTTTTAAATAAATAAAATTACTTACACAGGCTGTATATTTGAAAGTGAGACATATTCATACATGTCATAGTAAATCATGTTACAACTTAACATAGACTAAAATAAAATTAGGATATGGGATAGAACAAAAAATAAATCAACATATGTGTTTTGGAGTGTAAATAGGAATAAACCGATTCCCTTTACGCTTGATTTCGAGTGCAATAGGAATACTACCAAGCGAGCACCGAGTGAGACAGCAACAATAACAATGATTTCACATCTCCCTTCCTACTTTTCGCGGGCTTAGGACCGACAAAAAAAATCCTCATTTCTCTACAAAATAAAAACTAAGTTACTCACCTACTCATTTATGTTATGATGGAAAAAGCTGTTATCAAAATAATTCGTTTTAGCTTATGTTAATTATTTTTTACTTGAACTATCATCGAAATGTTTTACGTACTAAAAAAGTAAGTAAGTTTATGATTTAGTAACTAGTAAACGTTTAATAAGAATTGAGGTTTTTGGCGTAGTTAAAAATGTGAAATCAAGTTATTTAAAATGATTGATTTTTTAGTTATTTACAGTTTATTTACACTTACGTGGTAGTCTCTAGCACGACATAGTAAAGTTTGTTTTAAATTGTTCAACACAAACACATTTTGTCTCACAGTATAAAATGCTGAGATAATCCTCTCACGCCACACTTCGACACTGTTCACCTCCTCCGCGTAAACTTCGATTTGGGAACATTTCAATAGCTTGCCTCACACCATCACCACTTATTGCGTAAGGTCGCATTATCTCAGTCAATTCGACGTTAGAATAAATATCCATTTTGCGGCGATCGGGCGAGCGGAAGTACAAATAATTTACGTGTCTTAGTTAGACCAAGATCGCGCGTGCACTGTGTGCAATTTCGTTTGTGACTTGTGCTTTGTTTTTCGCCGCCGTGCCAGAGAACAAAGCCATGCCGCCGCCGGCCGCATCTGCGTCGGAGCAATAATTGTGATGTGCATAAATTTCGATAACTAATGTTGTTCACAAGTAGTAGTCAATAAAAAAAATATTTATTATAAAGTTTAAGTTCATTAGTTTAATATTTCTTTGGGTTCCGAATCAGGAATATAACGCATTCTATAAGTATGTCTCACTTTCAAATATACAGCCTGTATAATTGTAATAACATTATCGATAATCATAAAAGCAGATGTAATATTAATAATAAGTAAGTTTATTTGCCTAAAACATGGTATAACTGAAAATGTCGCAAAAGACAGTGTCAGTACAAACATGTTATTTACATAACCATATATTAAACTACCAAAACAATTAAAATGTCACAACAAATGGTCACAAGTTACAAATTAAATTTGCCGAGAATTGTTAAAATCAACATAAAATTTTAATTATATCTACATAAATAATAAATTAATAATTAACTCTCATCTGAAAGGCGACCCGTGCCCAGCAGTGGGACGTATAAATGGGTTGATGACGAAATAATAAATTACAAATATAATAATAAATTATATTTATTATTATTTAATCACTTACATCACTTCGTTACAAACAAACAAGAGTCTAATAATTTAATCTTGAGTGGTATTTTATTACACATATCAACACACATTTTCAAATTACTTTGTCTGTAATTTTTAAACGATGTAACGAACCAGAGGGGCTTACGAATTTTTCTAAGTGCTTGTTGCAGATCTTTGTGCTTTAGTTTTTCACACTTTTTTTTCCGTAGTTTTTTGCCATAAAGTGAGGAAAATTCGTAGCGTCCGCTAGTTCGTCCCGTGGCCTAGTTGGCATAGCTTCTACTACGGTTTGCTGCAAGATATTGGTTCGAATCCAGCCAGATCGTAGCAATTTTTTCTAAATGTTCGATCTTTGTATTAATAATAACTTTCTCTGTGTGTAGCTATAATAGGAATATTGTCAAGTACAAATCCGTTCGAGTTTCTGCTGGCTCTAGTATACACTTTACTGGTTATCTTAAACAAAATGAATTAATCAAAATTGTGAAAAACAATTATCACAAATAGGGCATGTAAACCGGTTACTCGGTTAACCGAAAAAACCAACTAATCATCCACTTTCCTACACGGTTTTCAGCTAAGCGAAAACCTCGTAGTGAATTGTTTTAATAACAGAAAACCGATAATATGTCTGCAAACAACTGCTTTTTTTTTCTTCGAGACAACACGTATTTGTGTCAGTAGTGCGGATTTTATTTCATAAATTTAGTTTAAAGTCACTTAATCGCTTCGAGTTTACCATCAGTGTGTTCCTTGTGTTATGAAGAATCTTATGGTGTTTAATACTCATCGACTTTAGATCCCTAGTGCCCGTGACAATAAAAAACAATATTACAAACGCATCGTGACTAATCACAATCTTTGTATTTGAGTGTAGTGGTGAACAAAAACGACCTTGAAGTCATTAGCAAACTATTAACGGCTAACATTCCCAACAATTAGTCTCCGCTATAGGTGCATAATTTCGCTCACACCCGTCATCGAGGATTTGGTGCAGCGGTACTGTGCACGGATTTGCAAACGAAGGGGTCGTGGTTCGTATCTCAGCGCACACTTACTTGCTTCATTTTTTAATTTTTTTTTTTATTTCTTTCTCTGTTTTCTTTATTTTGTTGTTGGAAACAGCTTCATAAGTGCGCGCAATTTAAATATAATGGAATCAGATTCTCTAATCTGGGGTTGTTGTAACGATCCGGAAATTGGAAGTGGTTACATAAAATACACCATATACACTCTTGCTTTCCACGGCATATGTGTGAAACTTGACCCAAAAAACAGCTCGAACAATAGATGGAAATGCCCTACTTGTAAAGGAAGAAATGTCAATCGAGAGAACACCCCGTTACTCCACACTCCATTGCAATCGCAGCTATCCCCGGCAACTCCAACTAGTGACGCAATTACATCCAAGCGATCAGCGAAGCGGCATGCAGTCTCATCACCACATGTTGAAAAAGGAGACCCAGTAACACGCCAAGATGTTGATGAGGTTGTTAGAATATGTAAGGAATATTTAAGTCAGAAATGACCGCCCTCGCCTCTGAAATGAGCGTAACAATAAAATCTTTAATTAGTTCTGAAATGAAGGCACTGAAAACGGAAATTACTGAAGTGAAGGAATCTTTGTCTTTCATCAATAAAGAATATGAAGAGTTCCGCCAACAGCATCAATCAGCAATCGGAACTATTGAGATGTTGCAGTCAGAAAACTTAGAAATGAAGTCAACTATTGCCAGCTTGAGCAGAAGAGTGAATCATTTAGAACAACAAGCTAGAATGTGCAACATTGAAATCCAGTGCGTACCCGAAAAAAAAAAATGAAAACCTCCTCACCATTGTCGACTCCATCAGCAAGGCGGTTGGGTGTAAGATTAACCCAGAAGACATACATAAATGTACACGGATTGCTAAATTGGACCCGACTGGCTCTCGCCCACGCTCTATTGTCGTACAGTTGTCTTCACCAAGAGTACGAGATGAATTCTTGGCTGCAGCTGTGAACTATAACAGATCAAAAATAAGAAAAGAGGAGAAACTCAACACATCAGACATAGGCATTACTGGCGAAAAAAAGCCAATCTTTATAGCTGAACATTTATCACCTGCCAATAAAGCTTTACATGCTGCAGCTAGGTCAAGAGCAAGGGAAAGAAATTACAAATACGTTTGGGTCCGTAACGGAAAGATCTTTGTGCGCAAAGACGATCACTCTGACTACATACTTGTGAAAGACATGTCATCACTTAAAAAACTTGTATAACTGTCTTTTTCCTTTTATATTATGCATGCGTTTTTGCATTGTATAATGCTATTTAAAATTCGATTCAATTAATATATATTACCAAAATGTTAGAGGCCTGCGAACGAATACAACAGAATTTTACCGAAACATTTGTAGTAGTCATTTTGATGTTATAGTATTAACCGAAACTTGGTTGAACGATACTGTTTTAAGCTCTGAACTATTTGATCATAGGTACACTGTACACAGGAAGGATCGACAGTCCAGAACAAAAAAAGATGGAGGAGGAGTATTAATAGCAACTTTGAAGTCTCTAAATCCAAAACGTGTCCTTGCATGGGAGAGTTGTAACGAGGATTTGTGGATAACTTTTGAAAAAAAAGCTTTTAATAAATCGGCACAAACATACGCCTTATGCGCAATTTATCTGCCTCCTCCGGTGACCAGAGGTTCTTTAGACAATTTTCTTGATAACTGTAACCATGTGTTTGAACAAATAAACTCACCTAAATGTATTATAGGTGACTTCAATATGGGAAGTGTAGACTGGAACTTGGTGGGTAGCCCTGCGTACATCCTTTCTGGACTAGCACAATCCTTAGTAGATTTTCACGATTTAAATAATCTGCGTCAAATAAATAATGTAGTCAACCCCAGCAACAAAACGTTGGACTTAATTTTCACAGATATTACTCATTGTGTGGCTTCTTACAGTGAAGAAATCCTAAGTAAAATCGATCCGCCCCACCCCCCTCTTGCCATTGAAATACCAATTAGGAATATGTATAGTCTTGCGCAAAATAAATGTAACATTAGGCACAATTTTTATAAAGCAGATTATGACGCTATTAACACATTCTTAAACAATACTGACTGGAATTCCATCTTCATGAACTGCGTGAATGTCAATGATATGACGACTCGATTCCATCGCGTCCTTGAGGATATTATCGCGAACATCATTCAGCCATACGACGCCCACTGCTGGGCATAGGCCTCCCCCAACGATCTCCACGACGATCGGTCCTGCGCTGCCCGCATCCATCGGCTTCCCGCGACCTCCACCAGATCGTCGGTCCACCTGGTGGGGGGCCTACCCACTGAGCGTCGTCCGGTGCGCGGTCGCCATTGAAGAACCTTTCCGCCCCAACGGCCATCGGTTCTCCTAGCTATGTGCCCCGCCCACTGCCACTTCAGCTGAGCAATTCTTCGAGCTATGTCGGTTACCTTAGTTCTCCTACGGATTTCCTCATTTCTGATTCTATCACGCAGGGAAATACCGAGCATCGCTCTCTCCATTGCCCGCTGAGTGACCTTGAGCCTTCTTATGAGGCCTATAGTGAGGGACCACGTTTCTGATCCATATGTGATCACTGGCAACACACACTGGTCAAAGACTTTCGTCTTGAGACATTGAGGTAATTTGGACGCAAAGATTTTTTGGAGTTTCCCGAACGCTGCCCATCCGAGCTGGATTCGACGAGAGATCTCTTTCTCAAAGTTGGACTTACCTAACTGGACTGTCTGCCCCAGGTATACGTAATGGTCAACAACTTCGAGTGTAATGCTCCCAATTTTTACTGGAGCGGGTACAACATGGACATTCGACATGATCTTCGTCTTGTCCATGTTCATCTTAAGACCCACTCTTTGGGAAACACTACTGAGATCTTCGAGCATTGTGTTCAGGTCTCCCAAGGTCTCAGCCATAAGAACTATATCATCGGCAAATCGAAGGTGTGTTAGGTACTCGCCATTGATGTTGATGCCAAGTCCTTTCCAGTCCAGAAGCTTGAAAATATCCTCCAACGCAACAGTGAACATCTTTGGAGATATCACATCTCCCTGTCTCACGCCTCGTTGCAGTTGGATAGGATTAGAGCTCTGATCCTGTAATCGGACTGACATAGTGGCATTTTTGTATAAGTACCTTAACACCTCTATATACCTATAGTCTATTTGGCACCTTTGGAGAGACTGCAGCACCGCCCAGGTCTCGATCGAATCAAAGGCCTTCTCATAGTCCACAAACGCTAAGCAAAGTGGCCGGTTATACTCCTCGGTCTTCTGTATAACCTGCCGCAGCGTATGGATGTGGTCTATGGTACTAAAACCCTTTCGGAAACCGGCTTGTTCGGGAGGTTGGAAGTCGTCAAACCTGCGAGCGAGACGATTCGTGATAACTCTCGAAAACAACTTATAGATATGGCTCAGAAGCGAGATTGGCCGATAGTTCTTCAAGAGTGTTTTATCACCCTTTTTGAAGAACAGAACGACCTCGCCTCTGCCCCATGCCTTCGGCGTTTGACCTTCGACGATGACAGAATTGAAAAGCTTCTGGAGGACTTTAAGTATCGGCTTGCCACCCGCTCTCAGAAGTTCTGTAGTGATTCCATCATCGCCCGCCGCTTTGTTGTTCTTGAGTTGTTTAAGAGCCACACTAATCTCATACAGGCTGACGTCCGGGATATCTTCGGTATAATGTCGGGTAAGCTTGGCTCTGGGGTCTCTAACCTCGCTTTCAACAGGTGCTTTCGTGGAGTATAGCTGTCGATAGAAACTCTCTATCTCCCTCAGGATTTCAGGCTTAGATGAAATGATGCTACCGTCATCAGTCTTTAGCTTCGTCAGTTGGCTTTGCCCAATAGACAGATCTCTCGCGAATACCTTGGAGCCTTTGTTCCGCTCAATGGCCTCTTTAATACGCTCTGTATTAAATTGGCGTATGTCGCTAGTCAAAGACTTCGATATCTGCCTATTTAGCCGCCTGTAGTGACTTGCATCCTCTGAGTTCTGTAGCCTCATTTCATTTCTATATTCCATGAGTTGAAGTGTTTTGTCGGAGAGTTTCTTTGTTCTGGTACGGTGGGTTTTGAAAAACTTGGACCCAACCGTACGGACAGTGTCCACCACCATGTTGTTTAGATCGTCCACATCTATGCAGTTTTCGAGGGCTTCGAAGCGGTTTTGAAGTTCGAGCTGAAAGCTCTCGGGGTTTTGGAGTTGTGCAGGTATTGGTCGGAGCGTAGACTCTATCAGTCGAGTTCTTTCCAGCCGGATATTGATATTCAATGTGCCTCGTACCAACCGGTGATCACTTCCTGTTTTAACGGTGTTGATCACAGAGACATCATTGAATATATGCTTTTTCGTCGACATGATAAAGTCAATCTCATTTTTTATTTTGCCGTCCGGACTCATCCAGGTCCACTTACGAGTTGGAGATTTCCTGAAAAAGGTGTTCATCATATAGAGGTTCTCCTTTTCCATGAAATCAACCAACATCCGGCCTCTGGCGTTCCGCTGTCCAACTCCAAATTGCCCCACTCTCAGTTCATCACCGCAACGCTTTCCCAACTTTGCATTGAAGTCCCCCATAACAATCGTGTAGTGGGTTTTGTAGCTATGCATGGCTTTTGAGATCTCCTCATACATAGCCTCCACTTCGTCATCTGGGTGTGTCGAGGTCGGAGCATAAACCTGAATGACATTCAACGAATATCGTTTTGATATTCTGAGTATCAGGTATGCCACCCTGGTCGACACACTTCCGATGGAAATCACGTTGTTAACAAGGGACTTGTGGACAATAAACCCGACACCGCCAAGGGACTGTTGGTCGCCCTCCCGGTAGTACAGTAAGTTGCCGGAATTAAGGATTATCGAGTCCTCCCCCTCTCTTCGGACTTCAGATAGCCCAATGACATCCCAGCGTAACTTACTAATAGCTTCTTCCAATTCTGTGAGCTTTGCGTCGGTCCTCAATGTGCGCGTGTTGTAGGTTGCCAGGTCCAGTCGTCGTCGTTGATGGTAGCCGGGTCTCCCCCGGGGATTCTTCGCACCCCATGCCCTGTTTCCAAAGCCGCTACCGTGACTAGGAAGAGCAGGACTGCCGGGGACTAGGGGCCAATTCTTTGGTGTGTGTATCATAGGGGGGGTTGTGCCATAATCGCCACGCTTGGCAGGCGGGTTGGCGATCGCAGTTCTGGTCAAGATGGGTAGAAGACGCTGCTGCCCGTCTTCTTCTGACAATTTTTTCCTTAGTCGCCTTTTACGATACCCACAGGACAAGAAGGGGGTGGTGCTATTCTAGGCCGGCACCACACGGCACATGCCGTGGTATCGCGAACATGGTTCCGCAATACCCATGCAAAAACAATAAGTATC